TTTTGTCAGATATAAATCGTGCATTACAAATCTTCTTGAAGTGCTGGATTAATTACTGAAGCTTTAAGCGATAATTGTGCAGCATCGCCTATTTTGCTAAAACTTTTGATCGTGTGTCGCATGTTTCGCTTTATCTCAAGTTGGCTATATGGTTTTTACAATAAAATTTTCGATTGGCTCAAGAACTTTCTTGACTGTAGAAAACAACGTGTTGTTTTTGGTAATATCTTCTCTGAATGGATGAATGTCCTGAGTAGTGTTCCTCAAGGAAATTTGCTTTTCATAAATGATATGCCAGAACTAGTTAAAAATACTCGCAAACATTTTGCCGATGATAGCCAATTTGTTGCAAATAAAGTCAGTTATGGATTTGGCGTATGTCCAGGAGGACAATGATATTTTAGAAGATTGGTCAAGACTTTGCATGGAATTCGATATAAATAAATTCAAAGTTCTAAAGTTTCACGGTAGTTCCTAAGAATTTGACATTCTCCTGAAAATGATAGTTGCAACGACGCAATGATAGTTGCATTCCTCTTGAAGTTGTATCTGTCAAAAAAACATTGTGTATCCTATTTAATAATAAACTCAAATGGTCAGAACAAATTAGTCAAGCTACTCTTATAGCAAACTCTGTACTTGGAATACTCAAAAGAACATTTAAAAAATGGAATCCAAATATGGTTATTAAGCTTTAAATAGCGTATGTGCGGCCGATATTAACAAACTGTGCACCAGTTTGGAGCCCCATCTAACAAAACGACATTAAAAAGTTTGAATCAGTTCAACGTAGCACCTAAACCTTTTCCACAATTGCGTAACATGAACTAAAAATCACGTCACGGCAAATCTTGGTCTCAGCTCATTACTAATGAGCTGAGACCAAGCTACGATCAGCTAATAATTAGCTAAACGTAGATTAGGAGGTGATCTAATTCAATTTTTTAAAATTTATGAAAACATCAATAAAGTCAAGTGACATCAAGAATGCAGACGAGCAACTTCTTTTACATGTGATGGTCCTGCAGGTAGTCTTCTTAGCGCAAAGCATAAAATTGAACAAGAAGTTACCAAAAACATTCTAAGACAGTCAAAAATCGAGTAGTGATAAAATGGAATGCTTTACCTGCTTTAATAGTTGCCGCTAATACGGTCAACGAGTTTAAAAAAAATTATGTCAAATTGACTTGTTCTCTTCCGAGTTGGTCGACTATAGCCGGTTGATGTTAGACATTAGCCACATAGAAGTCAAACTTTTCTTGTAAAATATTACTATAATAATAATAATAACAATAATAATAATAATAATAATAATAATAATAATAATAATAGCATAATTGATATGTAATTGAGCTAATAATGAGCTAATCAAAACAAAATTTACTTCCTTCCTACTTCTTACGGGAAAACTGAAACATCTT